AACCCCTAAACCCTAAGTCCTAAATCTCCAGATCTGCGACGCCCTGAACTCCTCACTCCCACGGCCCTTTTCAGCCGGGGTAGCGCATTGCTCTGCCCAGCTTTTGAAGTGCCGCGAGCACCTTCCAGGCGGGGCGTCTGAAACATCGTTGTAGCGTTAGCATAAATCTGGGGCAGGATGTGGCGAGCTTACAATCTCTGCATGTGTGCAGCGGTTGAGCTTCAGATTTGAGCTAGGGTTTCGGGTTTAGGATTCAGGGTTTGGGGCAGGGCTTGGGGTTTAGAGCTCGGGTTTTTGGTTAGGGTTTTGGGCTCCCCCAGACGAGGGGCCGCGCAAACGGCTTCGCATTTTCGGCCAGGGAAGGCCAAAGAACCCAGAAGAAACAATGACCTTGTGAGGATTCGCCTGTTGTTTCCAACATGCTGGGGGTGATACGGCTGCTACGGCTGCTACGAGCAGGAGCCGACCAACCGGCCTTGTCAGGAGAAACCGGGACGCGGAGCCAGCGGGAGCCGGCTGATGGGTATGAGCTAGTAGGTCGGGCAATGCTTAACCGGGAAAAAGCCGTGGCGCCCTTTCATCGCCGGGCTTGTGGAGTAGCGCTCAGGCGGGGGCACGCTGCGATGAAGGATGAGGACGCCCCAAACCCGACACCAGTCAAAAGCTGCCCTACACCCTAACGTCTAAACCGTGAGTTCGAAACCCCAAACCTCAAGCCCCAATCCTAAACTCGGAGCCCTAAACTGGGCGGACGCCACAGGCACCGGTATCCCAGCTCCAGGAGCCAGGAGGAAGACGGCACCCGCCAGGAGGACTGCCTGACAAGGGCTCATGGACTCTGGCTCATGGTCGTCTGGGAACCGGGGAGTTTCAAGTTTACGGGGTTTGGGGTTGAGGCCGTGATTTTTTGTCCGGTCTCTTTTTCACTGTTTCGGGGAGGGTGTCGTAAGGCCGACGGGGCTGCGGTGCTTCGGGGGCTTTGCGAATCCAGGACCCTGGGCCAGGCTACTGCTTGGGCAGGGTTTGCATAGTATTATTCCTTGGCGTTCCTTAATGTAGGTATGGCCGATTACACCCAAAGCCCTCATCTACCCAAGACCCTGCTCCAATGATCAAGGTTGCCCTAGTAAACACTGGCACACGGATGCTCGCCAAAGCTTGTCTGAAGCTTGGGGCTCAGACAACTCCAGGTTATTTGGTTCAGGTTCTTGTGTTTTGTGATGCTGGGACCCTAAAAGCCCTAAACCCTATAAACCCTACACCCTACACCCTACACCCTAAAAACCCTAAAAACCCTAAAAACCCTAAAAACCCTAAACCCCAAACAAAGGGGCTACGGGATTCGGTGTGGAAGCCCTGAGGCCCAAAGGACGGATATGCGCAGGTTCACGCTTCAGGGGCTTATGGCGGTGCTTAGGGTTGTTAGGGCTTTTAGGGTTTTTTGGGTTTTTAGGGTTTTTAGGGTTTTTAGTTTAGGGCGTCCATTCGCGGGCTTCGGGTTTATTCGATTGGGGATTTGAGGGTTTCGGGGTTCATTGAAATCAAGATCTGAGCTTGCCTTTAATGCCTTTTGAATTTTGGATCTCCGACTTCCGTCACAGGTGTAAGACATATGGCATATGGGAGATTCAGAAAATCGGGGGCACCCATACTACCATAGATCCCAAAATGAAGAGGTAGTGCAAAAAGAAGAAACCTTTAGGGACGACTACTACAGTACTAAACCCTTACAATGCCTTTCGGGAATGGCTCTGGGAGGATCATCGCTCTGTACACGGCGGCCTGTGCTTGCCCGGAGGGCCGGGATGATCTGATTTTCAGACCACGGCCTTCATCAGCGAAAGCAACAACCTAAATATGTGCAATAGGGTTCGGGAGTAAATACTTGTAGAAGAACTGTAGTTCTATGGATGACTCGCCTGAGGCCATGGGTGCAGCTGCTCGGAAGTTCTGCTTTCGAAAACAAACATCTGCAAGAGGATATAAGCGGATCATGGACAAGGACAGACGCTAAAAAAGCGGGCAGGTGATGGACACCAAAACCACTGGCGCTACAGCCGCTACGGACTTGAGAAGTGCAAAGGAAACTGCAGAGGCTCTATCATCGCTCGAAGCTCCGCACTGATTTGTAGCATTTCGGCCAACTTCGCTGTGAACAGGTGCGGCACAAAGGACGCCATGGATACCACGCCCAGGAATGCCTAGATTCCAGTCATGCCAGAGCTGATCTGAGTTGATCACAATGCGTATTTCATCCATCGTTCCGTCAATATCTGCAGTTACTGCCGGCTGCCACCACGGAGTCCCATCATGCCAGCTCCAGACGCCATTACCATCGCTCTCGGCGCCGATCCAAGCAGTCCTGCGGCCAGGAACAAGAGCCGTCGCTACCCTGTTCTCGTCTTCACTGTGAAGGCTTGCTATCATGGAATAAAGCCCTTGACAAAAACTCACAGAGTTATCGTAGTCGCGATAGTCAGAATCATAAAGGAAGCACCGGTCTCCCGCACATGTCCAGCCATTGCTACAAAACGTGGAGACGTTATTGTCTGCAATGGGCACAGCCGGGCTTTCAAAGGATGCAGCACACAGGACTCCATGCAGAGCGCTGCCATTGCCCCAGTCGTACCAAAGCCGATCATTGCCCTTGACGACCACTCGAGTGTCTTCAATCCCAAGTAGTCCACCGTTAGTATGAGGCTGCCACCATGCGGTTCCGTCATGCCAACTCCACACTTCATTGCCCTTAGTTTCTGCGCCGATGTAAGCGGTCCTGCCGCAGGCGAAGGGGATCAAAGCAGTCACGCCGGCATTTTCTGATTCGCCACGGATGCTCGCGATCACGGAGCCCATGCCTTCACAATATGATACAGAGTCGTCGTAGGTGCGTTCCTCGGCGCTGTAGTGGAAGCATTTGGTTCCTATCAGGGTCCATCCTGCTGCACAGACAGAAGACCCAGCAGATGTTGAGGTAGTTTGAGCCTCAGATGTAGTAGTTGTTGACTCTGTTTGGCCCCCATCACCACGCAAAACTGGCATCAGAAGATGCAAGCTGATGATCCACAGCCTTTGCAGCATGACGGACATCGGTGGCCAGGCTCTCTCAACAACAGCCGCAGGGTATGTGGGTCTTCATCGTACTCCTAGCTCCTATCATTCTGCTTAGTTGTGTTTTTTGCTTTGTTGCTACCGCTACTGCTGCTATTGCTGCTGGTACAAGACCGAAGCTTGAGCCAGGGCTTCGGGCCGTTACGGTTTGCGGAGAAGGCAGGGGGATGCCGCGGAAGCTGGTGCCAACCTCCGTGCTTCGGAATGACCGCAGGGCTAAGAACTTGAACGCCAGAGTTAGGATCTATGATCTCGGCTTTGGCACTTTAGAAGGGGCCACGGATCTAGGAGGCTAAAGCCGGTCAATTCTGGGGCCCCGGCGACTTCATCCGCATTCAGCTCCGGGAGCCAGGCAATGAGTGTTGCTGCTGCCTCGACACAGAGCATGATGTCGCCACAATGTACGCTACAAAGCACTCCTGATCTGTGATTTACTAGGTTGCCAGGCCTCTTGCATCAAGCTTGTGCTTCTTCTGGCTTTGTTGCAGTGAGCAAAGGAGCACAGCCGGAAGAAGCCAGGCTACGAAATCACTGACCTCATCACCCCTCCCCCCCCCCACCCAAAACACGAATTCAAACTTGAACTCTGAACAGCAAACCCATAAAGCCCTAAGCCACGTGCCCGCAATGCCAAACCATCGGAGCCCGACGCCGTAGCCCCGAATGAACCCGAGGCTGCAAAGCCACAACCACTGCCGCCCCATGGCGCCCGCTTCTCCAGCTTCCTACGGGAAAGAAAAAAAGCCTTCTGATTATACCCTCAACCCTAAATCCGAGGGCTGCTCCCCAAAGAAGGTTAAGGATTATGCCCTCAAGCCGATTACCAAGAAATCCAGAAAAATCCAAATGGAACCTGAATGAACCCCGCAGGCAAAATCAAAGTCCCCAGAAGCTGGGCCTTCGACTGCAAGCAGAGGAATTCAATGGCAAGGCGGACGTTGTCTTGAAGGTTTATCGTCTCAAAGCGCCTTCAAATTGGGGGGGTCTTCGGCGTAAGGGGCTTCGGGTGCAGGATTGAAGGGGTTGAGGGTAGGATTTTTGGTTCAGCGTTTTGGTGCTTTTGGGCCTTTTGGGTTCTGGATCGGAAGTTGGTGCTGTTGTTGCTATGTCTAAACATCGGGAAGCTGAGGATGAGGCCGTGCTCCACGACACTTGCGACGCGGTGCGATGATGATTACATGACTAACACAACCCTTTCGTTAGAACGACGACGACGATCATCAGCGGGACGACTGCAAGTACTGGCATCCAGTATGCTCATGCCATTCCAGAAGCTTTGAACATCCTTGCCAGTGCTTCCAGGAATGCCTGAAGTTCCCTAAATCCTGACCCGCCATCTCCGCTCAAGACCGCGCCTGTCATGCATCACAGCCACCATGTATACAGCCACGCTGTCAACATAGTATGCCTGCGGACTTGGAGTTCTGGCTTTCGGGCTACGGCTCGTGCTTTCCAAGCTTCCGTCTTCCGTGATGAGACAAGTGGTACCCCAAACCGGTAGGCTCAAAGGATCCGAAACCTTGAGCGCAGATCTTCTCACAGCCGGTGATGCCACAAAACTGAAGACCCGTGTCCGAATACCTCAAAAGAATTGCTCATGCACTCCTGCGCGGCAGGTATTTATGGCAGAAGTAGGGCTGACAGTACCTGATTGCCGCCACCCTGCATGTAAGCCTGACATGCAACCCGCTCTTTACGTCGCTAATTCTCCGGGTAGCATGACAATTTAAATCTTTCCTTATTTGCACCGGGAGCCACAAGAAGTTGTAAGATACCGAGCCCATGTAGCTACCGTGCTCGACAGGAGCTGATTATAAATGAGTGGTCACAACCGGTGCAAACATCCTGTCATCATCAGCTAGAAGACCCAACGACTCTTTACACAAAGGTCCATAAATTGTTGCACGATGGGCAAGAATAGAGGTTTTGCTACATGCAACCCGAATGTGGGTCTATCATCTAGCACTCTGCGTCTACATGGGTTCTGCCGGCCCATGAGCTTTCGGAAATTTCCCAGAGTAAGCGAGCCCTAATAATAAAGACCCCACATTGCATGATCTTATTAAACGGATCTAGTTGCCAAGGTCCCCTGATGCTGAGAATCTCGTATTTGAGCAATGCCCCTTCCCATGAAGTCGAGGTGCCAAAATACCTCGGCTTTTTCGGCTTCGGCTTGGGAAACTATGGGGGAATTCTTGAGAATTACGGAAACATTTTTGCAGGGGACCTTATAAGTCAATAAGTACTCTATCCAGGTATACGATACTACCTGAGGCCCTAAACCCTAAAACCCTAATCCCCCTAACCCCTCTCGAACCCGTGTAGCAACCTTTCTAGCAACCCTTTAAAGGCGTTACGAAACAGCGCCGTGTTTTTTGCATCTGCGACGCAACTTGCAATCAACGGCACAGCCATCGATGGGGATGGTACCCCCAAGGCTTGGCGTCGCAAACAATGGCACGTGCTCACACACAAGCGAACAAGCTCAACCCAGCCTGCCCTCGGATTTCGCTCCGTCCAACACGAAGGATGCCTACGGGGACGCACGCAGCGGCGCGGCAGCATAGTACATGCTTTCGTCGAGTCGTGCCGGCCGAAAACGGCGTGCAAAGTGGGTGGGTGGCCTCAGCAAGAAATTGCGTCTCGCTGCTAAAGATCGGAAAAGCTGACAACTAGTAGCAAAAAACCCAAGTGTGACTGCCGATGCACTGCCCCCTTGCGTCAGCTGGACGACAGTGGAAGCGTATGGCAGCGGCTGACTGCCTTGGCCAGCTTGCTGCGATTTGAAACGCGGTACAATGCCTTGCAAAATGTCAAACTGAGTTGCACGTGTCAGACGCCAGACCCCTGCCTTCTTTTTTTGCTTCTTCTTGTCACCGCCATGGCCGAAGTCCACACTGCACAGTTCCCCGCCGCATTCTTAGGACAAGCCTTGGCTCGTGAGCAGTAACACGAGAAAGCTTTAATAAGTTCAAACAGCCAGACCATCCCAAAGGTTAATCTTTGCAGAGACACGGCTGGGCTCGCACTTCTGTGGCAAAACCATCTTCCGCCATCGTTTCCGGCAAACCTGACAAAGCAATTACATCGTTTCACGCAGCAACAACTGCCGCCGCCAGCACTTATCGCCAATAACAACAACAATCCCAACCCCCCCACCGCCCCCCCGAGCCACCTTCCCGGCGGGCGGCGACTTACCGCGGAGAAAACTCTCCAGCAAGCGTCCTTCACACGCCCATGCACCATCAACAAATCTGCCTCCAAGCCCAGCAAAGCAAACTAACCTACCCTGCACTTGCACTTGGACAGGATGTCGCGGTTCTTGAGTTGACCAAAGCAGCATGTGCACATGACAGTAAACGCTTACTTTCAAGGTGTAGGCCTGCAGAAAGCTTCAATTGGTGCGGTGAAACTACTGGTTCATTTTCGGCATGTTGCTAGCATCCAGAACATGATACCTGGCGGACATGCGTCTGCAAGCACCGAAAGTCAACACTGCTTCAGCAGAGGGTGCCTGCCCTCCGTGACAAACTTCATGGCTAAATCCTTCACTTCTTCTGGGTAACTCGCATCACCAGCTCTATCCCAGAAGCTGTGAATTTACATATTGCCTCGGTCATGTCGCCATTGCGGATGCGGACACCATCTTGCGCGAGGGACCTGCAGACAACGCGCCGGGACCACCACAAGGGATTGGGTTTCAGGCCTGTCGTAACAAACTGAATCAGAAAATCTATAGTTTACAGACATACGCGAATCCACACACTGCATCGAGCGCACACTTCTGCATTGCCTGACTTGAGTTTACAGAGTCCATGGCAAACTAAAAAGGGATTGCGGACTGCCAGATCACACACACACACCCACCCACGTGCGCCAACACGTGCACCAGCATCAGCTTTGAGGCAGGCACTCCGCTAGCTCAGAAAAGCGGCTCTTTGCCGCCTGCTTGGCACGCTTAGCCACGAGTTTCCTGCGTCTTGAACACGGCATAGACGAGCAAAACAGCCAAGTGCACGGGGAAAACGTGGCAGTGTTGCCATACACCTTTTTCGTTGCCCGAGCTCAGCTGGAAGGCACACATACCGTCCACACACTTCCCTGATGAAGCAAGCCCTTGCAAGTTGCAGGCTGCCAGCCTCCCAGTCCGAGGTTGCACTTTCCGTTGCGGAAAAGTAGTCTGAATCTGACTCGGTGGGCTCCTGGAACTTGCGCTTCAGGACCCTACCCACCGCAACGAAGCATCACACAACTTCAGAAACTGGTTCATCTGTGCTCTTGGCTGGAGGCCCCGGGTGCGAGGCTTCCCCGACGCGCTGACCCGCGCAAGCCGAGAAGGCGAGCACGGTCCTCTGAAAATCAAGACGCGCGCGGAGCAGCAGAACATTAAAATCTAAACGCAGGATCATCTGAGAGAGGCACGCGGCGTGACGGCACAAAACACGAGCGGCGGATCTGCAAGAGGCTCTGTATTCTTGGGAGCACATGCACAGACCAACCGCATGAGGACCCAGCCAAAAATCCCCACAACCGGGCCCTGTGGGGTTTGGGAGGGTTTAGGGTGAACCGCGTTTAGCGTCATTCAGCATACATGGTTCAAGGCTTAAGGTGTTGATTTTGCGTCTTGTATGACCACAGCACATGATGACATGATGCAGGTTATCCTCTCGAGCCCTCTAGGCTAGGCGCCTTTGGTCAAATGCAAAAACGGGACACTTGGATCCTTGCCAAGCAGACTTCCACTCTCAAGACCACCCTCCTTATAACATCAGTCCGTCGAGTCGACAGTTTCATCAAACCAGATGAAGCCACAGCGGTCGGCCGATTGGGCTCAATATTGACACAGAAACCCCTGCAGTAACCCCTATGGCCACTCTTGTGGTATCCCTTTGGTATCCCTTGTAATAACCCCTCTATCAAGTCAACCTGTGCGCCAGTCCTTCGACCTGACCTGCAGTTGTTGTCTCGAAGCGGAATGCTCTAACTTTTGCTTCCAAAGCCTAACAGCGTCGCACGTATGCAAGATATCCACATGCCGCGATACGGACTCCCCCCTTTGACCATTGGTCAAACTGTGCAAAAGTCATCGCTGGCATCACCTGAAAACAACTGCTTTTTCGGGCAGCTCCACTGCCCGTCAAGACCACTTACGGATCTTGAGTAGACTCAAGGCTTTGATTCAGTCCAACATATTCTATACAAGCTACTTCAGACGTAGCTCGGTTCGGCCTCTCCACTCCTTGTTCGCCAGAAGTTGAGCTGGCTTGCTTAGCCGCGTGAAGTCATCTACGTGAACCACCGTCTGGCCTGAAGTCAGACGGCCCAAGGTGCGCCTCTCGCCAGTGAATCGGTTCAACGGTGGTCCTCCGCCGGCTTGGCCCGGCACGCAGAGGTTGAGGTGCGGTGGGGTGATAACGGATCGCCACACCGCGGATCTCGTCGACCTCCCAGTAGTCACGTTTCCCACTGGGAACCGCAAAGTCCTGAGTACTGACTGTAGGCCAATCCCCGCTAAGCGGCTCAAACGCTGGTGGAGTAGGTGCTCGTGGTTCCTTCACGCGCTTGCGCAGCCCCGCAGTTTCCAAGGAGGAGTCACCAGGTGAGTCTGAGCTCATCGGATCTACAGCTCTACCATGGCTCGTAGACCCTCCGAGCTCCTCTGCCCGCCGACTCACTCCCGTACTTCTGCAGCACTGCTTGAGGT